AAACGTTAACTATTAGTATCAATACAAACTTAAGAAGATAAATAAAAAGTTTAAACCTCATTTTACTCGCTAGTAGTTTGGCCGAAACTGCTTGAATCATATAATAATGTATAATAAACGGTGGTCGAGCTTACAGATCAGACTTCTTATAGTTACATAAGAGAATTGAAAAACTATAGAATTTCTATAATATTAAGGGGCCGTTTGAACCTCATTATTTATAGATTATAATGAGATAAATAGTGTTTTTTTTTTTTTTTGGAAAAATGAGTGATTGAAAAGTTTTTGATTTACATGTAATATTATTTTATTGAAAATTGTGTGGTTAAAAGTAGGAGAGAGAAAAAATTAATTTAATATAATGAGAAATAATAGAGCTCAACCAGGGGCTAAAAACAAAATTGGATATAAATCGATATCATGTTTTTCAAACAAATCAGATTTCTGAACTACTATTTTTGCAACTGGGCTTTGCGGATTAAGAGATTATTTATAGTTGGTTTGGAATTTGGGCATCGAATTTCGGAAGAATGAAGAAGATTAATGGCCATAGGATGTAGTAGTGAACTAGAGTGAGAATATATGAGATTAGGACTTCGTCAATTAATTATTCTGTGTGGCTTGGTGTGCTGCACCAGCCACAGGTTTATATTAAAAAAAAAAAAATGTTATTTGTACATAATGCGATATCTATAACAGTGTCGACCCTCCTCATATGGAGGGTAACTCTCTTCGGATAAATTATATTTTATTTGAAGTGGGTCTCCCTCCATGTGACTATGTGAGGGGGTGAATACCGTTATGAACACCCTAATGTTTGTGTATCATTAAAAATATAAAAATAAAAATAAAAAAATAATTTGTTTCACCAAGATCGAGTACCTCATATGTACAAGGGACTATTTAAATTTACGTAAAACAAGTCTTTATGATAATTGACGCCTCCTCCACTTGTTATCATATACTTGCATTTCCTATTTTAATGGATTAATCAATGAACAAAGTTTTTAACAGCAGTAACACAGATATTAGAGGTAAGGGGGTACGCTAATTTGGCTAGACAATGGCAAATAAAACTAGGGGTTCCAAAAATAGAACTGGAAAATTATCTAATCACAAATGGATGAGAAACTCTCCTTATCACCTTCATTTGAAGCTTTTGATGAACTACACGAGGCTTTTCTGGTCAAGATTCAGTAATGGAATAACGGTCGAACTTTTGCTCAACCAAACTCCTCTAAAGCTGGAGACATATCAACTACAAGAAAGATTACCTACAGGACATCTCCAAAGAATAAGCTGGAATTGATATGCAGGAAAATAATCTCATAGCAAACTTTGAATCGATAATAGTGAAATCGATCTAATCATAAAAGTCTCCAGTAACCAATGTGCAGGAAATAGATTTAACATTTAAAGATCAATAATCAGTGAATTGGATTGAAGGGGGAAAGAAAAATAAGAGTGTCTTGTAAATCAGAAAGTACTGTAGCTCTTCGTATCGAAAACCCCGTCGAGAGAATTCCTAAGCTGAAGAAGCCCGAATACTGGTGTCAACCATAACGGCAGACTGGTCTGGAAGATCATTCGCAAGGAATTAAGTACTTATGGATAATTTTGATAAGCTGATGGAAGTGATAGCTCAGGTTTGATCAAGTTAATACTTTTAAAATGAACAAAGAATATGCCCTGTTACCATAATAGAAGGCTACAGAGGAAAGTAAAGCAGCACTTCAAGTACTCTCATGAGTCGCCAAACTTATTCCTTTTCCTATTTTCTTCTAACAATCAAACCAAAGAAGGTGTCTAAATATCTCTTGTTTCCTCGTTCTGCTATGCCATTCCAAATATTACCAAAAATGCATCCAATGCTCAAATATTACAAGGGAACATTTCTTGTTTTACTTCGACATTAGGAAAGACCAACTCATTGAACAGATATTCTGGAGGATATAATATCTTCACGTCATTGCCCTTTTGTTTCATGTTATCAATTAATATTTTTCTACGTTCTATAGGGGCCCAAGTATATCTGTATAAGCTGAGATTAAACCTTCTTCTGATGCAGACAGATCCTATGGTTTAAGTTTCTATCTAATAGCTAGTTTCTACAAAGAAAAAACAGCAGAATTCTTTGGCTTTTGCTAGGTCAGTCTATCTATAAGGTATGCAAGAACATTGATGTAATATTAATTGTTGATAGCAACAGAGAGTAACCACAACTTTGAGAGCATAGAATATCGCAAATTAAGATGAATATAATTTTTTTCTTTTCCAAATACTGATAAATGTAAAAGCTTTTTGGTCAAGCAAGCACACAGAGACACTTTGCCAACAACTGCTCTTCATCTCTCTAGAACAAAGATACATAAAGTTCAAAGACCTCCATAGCACAGTATCTGAAACACTTTAAGACAAATTATCATTATTCACCGTAACGTAAAATGGAGAAATAACAGTTGTCAAATAAATAAGTCCAAACATTGGAAAATGGTAAGTTTATTTTTCTATCCATCTACTCTTCATAAAATATCTCGACACATTTCATTATAATTGGAAAATCGGGAAGTAGATGTTAAAAAATCAATGTAAAAGATCATGGATGCTTATAATATATACTGATCATCTCCCATCTTGGCTTGTCCCCCCTATTTTACAACACCACTGGAATCATTGTCATCAACTCCAAATTTTTAACCATAAGTGGAAACAGTATTTGTCCCCTGCCATCTTTGCCATCTCCCTGTTTTGAAGTCACGAAATTCACTAAATAATTGGAACACGATTTGAACGGCCTTCTTATGATTTAAGCAAATGAAGTTAAGAGAGATTTGAGCAACAATTTCACAATAAAATGCATGTATATAAAGATATCAATAAAGATTCTTGATTTCTTCACATCAAAATTGGATGTGAAGACACTTGTGGTTTCTCTATGTATCAAATACAAGTTGTGTGAGTATTGAATTTCGAGCATATTGAAAAAGTAGAGGGAACCAACCCCACATAACAACAATGAGAAAATTTACTATTGGGCTGATGCTGTCAAGAGAAGCACCTGGAAGGAATCTGAAACACAAGATTAAAGAAACCTCGAGCGGATGCAAAGAAATTTGAGTCCATGGGGAACCCTTTCGATACTCCACTGTTATCCATTCCACAATGGTGCAAACCAAAATTATATCACGGTGCCTTCTGATTTGATTCAAGAAGCAATGCATTCAGCATGATTTGAACGGCAGCATCATAAACAATTCCATCATAGTGCATCCCATCCACCGTACACTGAGGCCCACATAGGTCAGTCAGCCAACGAATATCCAGTTTCAAAAGTGGTCCTCCAGATTGCCACAAAAGCTTAGTTCTAGAAACTTCATCATCATAAGCATTGCACATTACATCTTTCATCTTCTCCCTCTTTTCGACTGTGTTTAACATTGAGCTTATCAATGCTGGCATCCCAAGCCAAAACAAATGTGGTGACCTAATCCATGCCGACTCACTTGCCTCCCTCTCAATGGCATCCGTATTCCGGAAAACCGGCAAAAGCGCCAAAACTGAATCCTTCAATGCCGACAATGATATACCATATTCTGTTGCATTGTTCAAGTGCAACATATCCCATAACCCAGCTCCAATCAATATGATATCTGGATAATCCTTATTGTCCCTGAATTTCAACATCAAGTTGGTCAAATTTCTCACATAAGGCGCCCACGTAAAGTCCAACTTCATCCCAATTTCATCAACAGTTATGGAATAATCGCTATGTCTCCTAAACAGATCCCCTCTGATTTTCTTCATCCCCTCCGGACCCATGACCAACTCTAACAAAGAAGCCACCATTAACCTTGCCTGAGAGTCCCCTGCAACAACCACCCACGACCCATTTAACAACACCGAGACATCTGGTTTCTTTAACTTTTGAAACCCACATTCAGCAACGCTCCCAGGCTGCGTCCATTTCCAATACATCTTCTTACAGCCACTATCACTATTACTATCGATAGCATCATCCACACATACACTATAGTTACTTTTATACATAACAACACTATGTAGGGAAAAAATGCACGAATCACGGATCATGGAAGAAGAGGTTGTACCAGTCGGCAAAGATGAATCAGAAATCGATGAAGGCTTGTACAAGAAACTAGATATTGAAGGGAAAAACGGAGCTAAGTGCACACCGACAGCGAGTGTGATGAAAAGTGCACAGCTGAAAAAAAGCATCTTATTCCGGCTTAAATGCCACCCCGCCATACCCATAGGTACGAACAACACAATCCCGGCTGCCAATAATCCAAACTGTACAGCCCCAAACATTTCTGATTTCAAATCAAAAGTGACACGGAGGTGGTTTATTTTTCATCGGAAAAGCCGAAAATTGATGCAAGATTTCGGTACAAAAGACTAAAGTTTGTTGATTCGGGGGGAGTTTTGACGGTGATAGACTGATAGTGATGGATTAACAGGCAAAAACAGGCTGTGCTGTGAAATTATAATAGAAATTTGTTGGGAAAATTCGGAAATGCGAAGGGCGGAGCATACCGGCAGTTGATGGTGGTTTTCGGAGTGGTCCGAAGGTTCTACGGAGGTGATTCGGATTTTCAATGGGCCGGATCACTATTTGAATCTTGATGTCATTGAGAATAATTTGCTGTTAAATCTTAAAATTTTATAGCATTATAATATAATTAACTTTCGTGTGCAGCATTAATTATGCAATAATTGAGGATGTTCCAGTTTGATGCAAAATGTCTAAAAGATCGTCAAAACACTCCCGCCACCCTGGCCCAAAAAAGGGAACGTGTAAGGTAACGAATTATAGTTTAATTTTAAAAATTAGATTTGACAGAGCTTACTTTGATCTTGATAGATGGAATCTAATAATTCATAAGAAATAAATATAATTACATGAATTATAAAAAGTTTCATAATCAAATTTTTTTTTTTTAATTACCTTGATCAAACAACTTTGCCAATACACGTGCTCTTATTTTAAATTTGATAAAATGTTGCTTCATGATAGTAACTTCTATGCTTTATAATAATTTAATGATGAACCTCAAACTTTGAATTAAATTTAGGGTAATTAGTACAAAATATCTTTATATTTTCAATATTATCGTGCAAAAACGTTCATATATTTTCATTCTTATTTTTACCTTTCATCGTGGAAAATATTATTTTCATCCAATTTCTTAATTTAAAAAATGTAAATGGCAAATCTACCCCTATTTAAATAAAACAAAAAAGAAAAAAAAATTAAAAAAATTGCAATTATACTCTAAAACTTTTTAAAAAAGCAAATGAGCTCAAATAAATTATTAAACAAATAATTAACACAAAACGTCCATACCTTTTTATATTATTGTGCAAAATGTCTCTAACTTTCATTTTTGACACTTTCATTATTATTTTCACGTTTCATTGCGAAAATCATCATTTTTTCAATTAAATTTATAAAATGACGAATATACCTCCTATTTAAATAAAACAAAAAAAAGGGAAAATAAAGAAAATATTGCAACTGTAGTCCCAAAATTTTCAGAAGAGTACAAATAAATTTCAAATAAATAATTTTATAGCTTTTAGTTGAGAAAATAGATAAAAAAAATTTATAATTTTCGTAATGTAATGTGAAAATAAGGATTGAAATACCAAAAATGTAAAGCATGGACGTTTTACACAATAATATTGAAAGGTAAGAATATTTTATATTAATTACCCTTTTAATAATTTATTGGACATATTTTCAATTTTTAAAAAGTTTGGAATACAATTACAATATATTTTTTAATTTTTCTTTTAATTTTTCTTTTAATTTTTTGTTTTATTTCAAGAGGAGATATATTTGTCATTTTAGTTTTTTATTAAATAAATTAGGTGATAATGACTTTTTTTGCAATGAAATGTAAAAATATTGATGAAAAATGTCAAAAAATAAATCATACGGACATTTTCCACAATAATATTGAAAGATAAAGATATTTTTTGTGCTAATTACCCTTAAATTTATTATTCATTAAAAGACATGTCATAGATATTTAGAATAAATTAAATATCGCTGTTTTCAATTTAAAAATAATATAGATTAATAATGAAATTTTGGAATGTCGTATGAAATGGTTGTGGAACAATACCTTTCTATCTGTCTGGTGACGCTCGGTGTTCCGACTACTCCGTCAAATGTTTGTGACCTAAAAAATGAAGGCGGGACTTTCTCCTCCTTTTTACCTCCGGCGTGAGAATTAGTTTTTAGACTTGCAATTGGAAATCAGATGGCTAAAAAGAGTGTGAGAGAGAGCCCTTTACCTGTGTCACATCCGGGGCATTTATAGATACTGGGAGCTGGATAACCACTGGGCGGTTGTGGTGTCATGTGTCCCACGTTGGCATTCCCATTACCCCCACGTTCTGAGTGGGGGGTCTTTATCTTTCCGCCTGGAGGTTGTACCCGTGTAAACTACCATAGAACCTAATCAATTTACTAGAGGTTTTATGGCTAAGTGTTTGGGTTGGCAATTCCATGCCCGTTGAAGGCCTCGCGTAATGGTAGAGCGCTCCTGGGGGGTCGACGGCTTTGCGTAGTGGTAGAGTGCCTCCGGGGGTCGATGGCCTTGCGTCGAAGTGCAATGATCCATCTTGCTTGTATGTCAAGGGTGGCCTCTTCTACCAACCTATATCATTAGCCCCCTATCCCTTGTCGATGTTTTCGGCGAGGGGTAGCAATTTTCTTTATTTGGGTTGGTTTAAAAAATTTTTTAATACATATAAATGATAAATTAGTAGTTCGTATTAGCAAGTCAAGCAATGCAATCGAAATCAAATAACAATTTTACTGTACACATGGCACCCCATCAATGGTCCTAATGTTGAAAGGAATTTTCCCTCCAAATAGTTTGAATTCTTGTGTTTATAAAAGGAGGTGATTTTTACTTCAAAGAATCACTTTCATTTTTCCTCAACATTCTAGGCTTTCTTCCTTCTAAGGTAATTTTCTCTCCTTTTTAATCCCAAGTCTTTTTTTGAATTTCTCTTCATCTTTTTTGTTGCTATGTATAAAATAATTCTTTCTTCTCCTTCCAATGAGAGTGGCAATAAGGGGCCGATTGATGCCCAAAAAAGTCCGGCCTCGCTAGTATCGACCAGCCACTGGTCGATCGACCAGCTCCCGTCCCGCATCCAGGCGGTCGGTCGGGAATTTGACCGGTCGAAGTCCTTCGGCTTCTCTTCCTTCGTCCGATGGGTTTCCATTTGAGTCTGATAGCCAAAACCTCTCAAGCCTTTATTTCAAATTCCCCCAAGGGATATGTTGGCTCTACCAAATCTCCAAATCAAAACTTAGAAATCGAGCGAGATCCGGCTAGCGAGATCGTTCCCTTTGAAATTCCAAAAAGTTTTAGCTTTTATAATTCTCCACTTAAGTTAGAGAAATGTCTTGCTAGGTATGATCGGGTCGACGATTACATCTATAGAGCCCTCGGGCTCAAAGAGAGGCTCCCCGGGTCCGACCCCCGCGAGATAGCGGTGTATAAGGACATCATGGATGGTGGTTTCCGGTTACCCATCCATCCTTTCTTCGTGTCGATTTTCAATGAGTTTCATATTACTCCTAGTCAAATAAATCCCAATGCTTGGAGAAAAGCACTCTACTTCTTGTATGTTTGCCTTAGGAGGCGAGTTCCGCTCTCCATAGACCTCTTTAGGTGTGTCTTTGAGATGCATGTGTTAGCTCAGTGCAATGCATTCATCTTTTTTACCGCTAGGGTTCCGTTGTTGTTTCCTAAGTTCAGGAATTCAAATAGTGGTTGGAAATCTCAATTTTTCTTTGCCCTGCCTTCAGCTGGTCGGTTTCCTTTCAATACCAATTGGCGGTACCCTCAAACTCGCCTTTTTAATAGTCAAGTAGATGCTTCCTCTACTCTAAAAGCTCAAATTCAACAGCTGGTTGATACACCCCCTCTTGCACCTAACTTAGGATCGGTCCTGACCATGAGGAACATGTTGATAGTGGGGATGAGTCGTCTTACTGGTAGGCTGCTTACATTGATATTTATTATTTTTGACTTGAACATATTTCTTATTTGTGCTTTTTGGAACTAATATATTTGGGTATGTGTATGCAGATATGGATTTTGATTTGGACGAGGTGTTGAGGACCGTGCCGAGCAGTGACGAGGGTCTTTCTCTCATTGATGGTAATCTCCTGAGCTTCCCCTTCTTTGTTTTGCGTTCTCACATTCTTTTGTTTTGCTGTTTGACCAGCCTTACCCTGCATGTACAGGGATGGAATTTGACCTAGAGAGGACCTTAGACTCCATGCCCGAGCAAGAGCATGGAAGTGATCTTGAGCCATGCCCCGCCCCCTTAAAGAGAAAAAAGATGGTGGCCTAAAGGGGAAGTCCTCAGGTAGTAGAAGAGACTCCCCATTCCTCAGATGAGCCCAACGAGGTTGCTCATAGTCCTAGGTCGGGCTCTTCCAGTCGTACGCCGGGGGAGCGTGAGGGGTCTCTTCCTATTTTCGGGTTTCCTCCCACCCGAGGTTATCGGGAGATGGAGGTACTTAAGTCTTTAGTGACACCCGCGCGGACCAGGTCAATCGCAGGACGTAGCGCAGACGATATTGAGAGGGTTGCGACGGTCTATCTTCAGAGGGTACGCTTCTAATTCTATGTGTATGTATATACACATTTTTTTTTTGCATGGTTATATCACTCGACTCTTATATTGTCTTCTCATCCTTTAGGTGGTGGCCCTTCAGACCGGGCTTGCCGAATCGAGTAGTCGCCAGGCCTTAGAGCTGAAGACTTTTGCAGAGGAAAAGAAAAAGGAGGCTCATCACCACAAGAAGAAAATATCTTCCTTGAAGAAATCTCTTAAGGCGTTGGAGGCTCGAGCCCGCTGTCTGAGTTGGCTCGTGCTCAGGAGGAGGCGGTTGAGAGGTATAAGGCCTCTGCTGGGAACACTAGGGACTTGGAGGTGTCTGTTGAGCAGTAAAGTCATCGTCTGATTATGCTGGGGCTTTGCGTTCGTACAGGGGGAAGGCGATGGTAGCGTCCATCAAACTGACCAAGGAATGGATATCGACCGAGCATCCTTCCATTAACCCCTTAGGTTTTGACAAGTTCCTTGCACAACGCAAGCGGAAGGAGAGTGGGGCGCAGTCATCTAGGTCACTTGGTCCTTCGTCGCGGGGCGATAGTGATGGTGTTTTCCCTTAGCAGTAGCACCTTTTGTCAGTTCTTCCCCCCCCCCCCCCTTTTTTGTTTTTATTTCTACATGTAGCATCTTTTCCTACTTGTCCGAGGTGTGGGCAAGACTACATTACATGCTTTTTGTATGAATGCTATGTTATTTGCGGTTATTAATGTTGAAACTTGTTTCTCCTAGCATTATTTCTCGCGTTCAGCTATTTGATAGCATGGGTGAATGTCATTTGTTTCATGTGTGCTAGGCCTTAGCTAATTTTTTGACTTTTCAAAGCTCTCCACCTAGTCCCCTGGGCTATGTCGACCGTCGAGGGCATGGTCTAGCGGTTTAGGGCCTTAACCAAATTTTTGGTTTCAATGGTTCTTCGCCTAGCCTTTTGGGCTGTGTTGACCTTTGGGGGCATGGTCTAGCTGTTTAGAACATTAACCAAACTTTTGGTTTCATTAGCTCTCCGCCTAGCCTCTTGGGTTGTGTCGACCGTCGGGG